CCGCCGTTGGCCGGCGCGGCTGTCAGTCAGGCGCGCGCCGCGCTCCAGTGCGCCGCTGGCTCGCGGACGAGCTCAGTCTGAGCGCCGCATCCCGGGAGCAGCGCGGCTGACAGGAGACACGGAGACACGGAGACGGACTCAGGGAGACACGGAGACACGGGCAGGACGGATTCGAAGGACTCGCTTTCCATAAAGTTGGCGTTTCCCAGAAGCCAGGGGGAGAGCGCACGCAGCCTGTATAAACACAGCTTTTCATTCAGAGGTAAACAGCGAGCCGCGCTCCGCTCGGGGAGACTCTGCCGCGGTGCGACGTCGGGAGGATGAGGAGTCGGGGGGGGGGGTGCGCGAGGGCTGGGGCAGCCGCAGCGCGGGGTGGCACGAGAGCTGGCACGGGGCGGCCGGGCTGCGGACGCGCAGTTAGTCGTCATGTGTTACAGCGCGGTGCTGCTGCGGAACCAGAGACTACGCTTTATTAAAGACGTGCTTTGTGTTGTCTTAAGAGCTTGTTGTTAATTTTCCTCCTTCGCGCTATACTTTTTTTTTGGGGGGGGGGGGCGGTCTCGGCACTGCAGGTGGCCCCGGATTGCCGCACGCGCCGTCGGCTTGCACGCGCTGTCCTGGCGATGCGGCACCGCTTGGGCTCCTCGCGCGACGCCCGCTCACGCGGGGGAGGGGTCTCGCGTGGTCCTGCGGCTTGTCTGGTTCCTCACAGTCCAGCAGGGTGGTGGACCGGGGCCGCAGCCCTTACCCGGCCCGGCCGGAGGAGCAGTCCCGGGGCTCGCTGGGGCCTGAACGCGGCTGCTGCTGATGAACTGCAGACGTGTGGTCAGCTGGAAGACCTCTGACCTCCGGCCTGTGCACCTGCTGCAGCTGGCCAGCTGATAGAGTGACCCCAGGGGGGAACCCGGGGCCGAGGACCGCCTGACCGCCGTGTTTCCCAGTCCGAGGGCGGCTGACCCCTGGGGGCCTGCGGACCTCCTGCAGTCGCGGTCGGAGTCACGGCAAGGGCTCGGAACATGTGGCTCTGCGGAAGACCCCGGGACTCAGACGTGTCCGAACACTCGGGGGGCAGAGAGACCTCGAGGTCTGAGCAGCCCCACAGCCTTCCAGCCCCCCGCTGTGTGGAGGCAGAGAGGGCGATAAAGGCAAGCCGGTCTGGGGCGGCCAGCAGCCTGGACAGACGTAAGGAGCAAAGACCCTGGTGTTGCGACTCCAGACACTGCAGGGGTCAGCAGAGTGTGGTTCCCCGAGATGCTCACTGTGTGGCGGTCAGAGCTCTGCAGAATCCGTCTGCCCTGCGATGGACTGGCGTCCCGTCCAGGTGTGTCCTGCTTTGCTCCCATTGCCTGCTGGGATAGTCTCTGGCTCCCTCCCCCCAGCTTGGGTAGGTGATTCAGAGATCAATGAGAAAGCTCTCCTCACACCTGATCGCTGTCACCGCACCCCACCGCAGCCCACAGGACGCTCGTCTCCCCGCTGGACTGCGTGCCGCTGACCTCTGACCTCCTGGTGGCCCTTCGTGCGCTCTGATTGGTCGCCCGCGAGCAGCTGTTCACACAGCTGGAGCAGAGGAAGAACGGATCAGACACGCCGGAGGACGGACGCGACGCTGGTGCTGGGTATTTCGGCGATCCAGGACGGGAGGTGTGAATCGCAGGGCTCGGCCTCAGCAGCGCCGGCGCTGCGCTGACACTGGACGTCTTGCATATGACCTCACTGGTCATCTTGGCCATCCCCCTGTTGGTGTGCGTAGATGTCTTCACCGTGAATTGCTCATTCCGCCCCTCTCCATATTGCATCTCATCTGAAATAACGTGAAGTTCACGGAAAATTCCAGTTTTCTTTAAAAAAAGTTGATCTCAACAGGTTTTTGTTTGATGAGCATTTTTCACCAGTAAGGACTTGCCGGCTGTTTCCGGTGCTTGTATTCGCACAGGAGCGACTGGGGCACACAGACCTGCTTCTCGGCTCGGCCAGCCTGCAGAGGTGTTGGCCAGCGGACGCTTTTCAAGCTTCACAGAGCCCGACAGGAGAGTTCGAGCCCGTTGGAGGAGCAGCGCGTTTCTCCCTGACGTCGGTGTGCAGAAACCCACAGGAGTCGTAACCACAGCAAGAGGAACCTGGCTGATTAACTCCTTGTCTCTTTAATTCTCGGCTCACAGTAGCAGCTCCGGGCTCCCTGTCTGGAGGGAAGGAATCGTGGGCATGCTACTTCAAAACGCCCTCCTGCGGACCTGTTCAGCTTCTGACACGATTCCAGCTCCGCAGAGCCTGACGGGAGAGTTTGTGCCGATTGGTGGAGAGGGGCATCTCTCGCTGATGTCACTGCTAGCTTCTGTGAGCGCCCAGCAAGTCTCAGGAAGCACTGTTAATAATATCAAGCCTACCTCTCGTCTGGCGCGCCGTCAGGTTTGGAGAATCCTGGTCGCAGCTGGCCGGCGTCATGCTCACGTGAGCAATGGAAATGACCAGGCATTAGCATGCAAAAGTGGAAAGTAATCTTGTTTGTGTCAATAAAATAAAGTCTTCAAAAGGTTGTCTTGATTAAAAGTTATTTCTCGCAGTGTAACAGCTGAGGGAATTCCCTGTCCTCTTTCTTACAGGAGTTACAAATGGGAAAAGCTATAAAAAAGAAATGCCGTACCTAGAAGAAGTATTCAGACCCTTGAGCAGTTTTCACATTTTGTTGCTCTGACAGAGAAAGGAAATGATTAAACCTATGCTGGGAGAAAACAGCAACAAGAAAGGATGCAGTCTAGACAACACTCGTTTGCAGCAAAAACAACTGCTTGTCCAGTTCAAATTTGAGCTCTGATCTAAATTTTAGCGTTGGACTGCTCAGCTCACTGCTGCGTGCTCCCTTCGAGAAGTTCGCTGCAGCCAACTCGTTAATTAGCTGCTGATCAGCAGGAGCAGAGTGGCAGTCAGAGCAGGAAGTATGAGATACTGGCCTGAGCAGGTCTGAAAGGATCGCAGTGGAGAAGCCCTGCTTTAGTGGACAGAAGGTGGACAGTGCAGAGATGCTGTGATAAATCTGGACTGTGACTGACTGAATGACATTTTCCATATTAAGCAAGAGCAGTAATCATATTAACTACGGTTCTGAGACCCAGGAGAGAGATTTCTGTCCCTCAGTGAGCTCTGCGCCCCAGTGCCTCAGTGAGCTCTGCCCCCCCAGTGCCTCAGTGAGCTCTGC